CGGGGTCCGGGGAGACCAGATAAAGTGAATGCAGGGTCCAGGGAGACCAGATAAAGTGAATGCAGGGTCCGGGGAGACCAGATAAAGTGAATGCAGGGTGCGGGGAGAGTGGATATAGTGAATACAGGGTCCGGGGAGACCAGATAAAGTGAATGTAGGGTCCGGGAGAGCAGATAAAGTGAATGCAGGGTCCGGGGAGACCAGATATAGTGAATGCAGGTCCGGGGGGAAAGGATATAGTGAATACAGGGTCCGGGAAGACCAGATAAAGTGAATGCAGGGTCCGGGGAGACCAGATAAAGTGAATGCAGGGTGCGGGGAGAGTGGATATAGTGAATACAGGGTCCGGGGAGACCAGATAAAGTGAATGTAGGGTCCGGGGAGAGCAGATAAAGTGAATGCAGGGTCCGGGGAGACCAGATATAGTGAATGCAGGGTCCGGGGGGAAAGGATATAGTGAATGCAGGGTCCAGGAAGACCAGATAAAGTGAATGCAGGGTCCGGGGAGACCAGATAAAGTGAATGCAGGGTGCGGGGAGAGTGGATATAGTGAATACAGGGTCCGGGGAGACCAGATAAAGTGAATGTAGGGTCCAGGGAGAGCAGATAAAGTGAATGCAGGGTCCGGGGAGACCAGATATAGTGAATGCAGGGTCCGGGGGGAAAGGATATAGTGAATACAGGGTCCGGGGAGACCAGATAAAGTGAATGCAGGGTCCGGGGAGACCAGATAAAGTGAATGCAGGGTCCGGGGAGAGCAGATATAGTGAATGCAGGGTCCGGGGAGACCAGATAAAGTGATTGCAGGGTCTGGGGAGACCAGATATAGTGAATGCAGGGTCTGGGGAGAGCGGATATAGTGAATGCAGGGTCCGGGGGAGAGCGGATATAGTGAATGCAAGGTCCCGGGGAGACCAGATAAAGTGAATGCAGGGTCCGGGGGGACCAGATATAGTGAATGCAGGGTCAGGGGTTTAGTAACACTTTAAGATAGACCATTTGACCCAGGTCAGGCTTAGTGAAATATTTAATTCCTTAAAGAGTAATTCCACTTTTTTTGAGAACAAAAAACAATTCCCTTTGGGTGATCTATGCACATTGACAAACTTCGTAGCAGATTCCTGTGAAGAAATAACTGTTTTGTATCACCATGTCCTGCGCAGAACGACTCTGCATGGGAGGGTCTGGTTCATTATAATCGCCTGGTGCACTCTCAGTGTTCTAATGAGAAATGTTGTCGTGTCTGCATCCCTTTGGAAGTATTTAACCCTTGGGAAGTATCTCACCAAAATAGAACTTCCTATTACAGGGGATGCCTAAAATCTGACTTGTATCTTACTGAAGACTTCTGGGAAAATCAGTAAGCCAATCACACCAGCAGGAAGTAACATTTTTGAAGGACTTCTGTACACAAAGAGTGTACAGGATGCCTCCAGGTTGCCATATTGCATTGAATTACACAGAAAATTACAGCTCAGTGGATTGGAAACATTTTTATTAACACTAACGACTTCAATACCGGACACCTTCACCCCCTTCCTGCCCAGGCCAATTTTCAGCTTTCAGCGCTATCACATTTTGAATGACAATTACTCAGTCATGCAACACTGTATCCATATGAAATTTATAACATATTTTTCAAGACAGATAGAGCTTTCTTTTGGTGTTATTTAATCAGCACTGGGTTTTATATAGATATATAAACCAAAAAAACCCAAAAGTTTGAAAAATAGGAAGTTTTTCTTAATTTTTGTTATAAAAGTTTGCAAATAAATAATCTTTCTTCATAACTTTAGGTCTAAATGTCTTCTGCTACATTTCTTTGGTGAAAATAACCCAAGTCAGTGTATATTATTTAGTCTACTATGATATATATATACACTATATTGGCAAAAGTATTGGGCCACCTACCTTTCCACTCACATGGCCTTTAATGGCCCCCAGTCTTAGTCCGTAGGGTTCAATATGGAGTTGGCCCCGCCCTTTGCAGCTATAACAGCTTCAACTCTTCTGGGAAGGCCGTCCACAAGGTTTAGGAGGGTGTCTATGGAAGGTTGGACCATTCTTCCAGAAGCACATTTGTCAGGTCAGGCACTGATGTTGGGGGAGGAGGCCTGGCTCGCAGTCTCTGCTCTAATTCATCCCAAAGGTGTTCTATGGGGTTGAGGTCAGGACTCTGTGCAGGCCAGTCAAGTTCCTCCACCCCGAACTGGCTCCTCCATGTCTTTATGGACCTTGCTTTGTGCACTGGTGTGCAGTCATGTTGGAACAGGAAGGGGCCATCCCCAAACTCTTCCCACAAAGTTGGGAGCATGAAATTGTCCAATATGTCTTGGTATGCTGACGTCTTAATCCCCCTCCACCAAACTTTACACTTGGCACAATGCAGTCAGGCAAGTACTGTTTCCTTGGCCACCGCCAAACCCAGACACGTCCATCGGATTGCCAGACAGAGAAGCATGATTGGTCACTCCAGAGAACACGTCTCCACTGCTCTAGAGTCCAGTGGCGGTGTGCTTTACACCACGGCATCCGATGCTTTGTATTGCACTTGGTGATGGAAGGCTTGGATGCAGCTGCTCGGCCATGGAAACCCATTCCATGAAGCTCTCTACACGCTGTTGTTGGGCTCATCTGAAGGCCACACCAAGTTTGGAGGTCTTTAGCTATTGACTCTGCAGACAGTTGGGACTTCTGCGCACTGCGCGCTTCAGCATGCACTGACCCCGCCCTGTCATGTGACGTGGCCTACCACTTGGTGGCTGAGTTGCTGTTGTTCCCAGTTGCTTCCACTTTGTTATAATCCTACTAACAGTTGAGCGTGGAATATTTAGTAGCCAGGAAATGTCACGGATGGACTTATTGCCCAGGTGACCACCTATCACGGGACCACGCTTGGAGTCACTGAGTTCCTGAGAGCGACCCATTCTTTCACCAATGTTTGTAGAAGCAGTCTGCATGCCTAGGGGATGATTGTATACACCTGTGTCCATGGAGGGGATTGGAACACCTGAATCACATGATTTGGAGGGAATTGGAACACCTGAATCACATGATTTGGAGGGTGGGACAATACTTTTGGCAATATAGTGTATATATATATATATATATATATATATATATATATATATATATATATATATATATGAAAATTGGTCAGTCCTGATGTACTGACAGCCACTCTAATTTCTTGAGGCCCTAAAATGCCAGGACAGTACAAATACCCCCCAAATGACCCATTTTTGAAAAGTAGACAGTGCAAGGTATTTAGTAAGAGGAAGGTGCATTTTTTTTGAGGTTGTAATATTTTGTCACAATTTTTTGGAAAATGAAGGAATTAAATAAAATTTGTTTTAATTTTTCACAATTTTTTTTGCAAATACCCGGCACCAGTGCAATGCAGCGTCATCATATGACCAGTGTGGCGGTGATCAGGGATGCTGACTGGTGACAGTATGTAAAAAAAAAGTAGTCCCCTTTTCAGATCAGAGTACCTTCTTTCCATCAGGACCCCCCCTTCACTTAAGAGCCCCCCTCCCCCTTCACATCAGAGTCCCTCATTTCATTTCAGAGCCCCTCTTTCACTTTACAACTTCCTTCACAGCAGAGTTCCCCTTTTATTTCAGAGTGCCTCTTGCACATTGCCCTTCCTGTCACATCAGAGCCCCCCTTCCTTCACATCAGGATACCCCTTGCATATCCGAGCCCCCCCCAAACCCAACATAGTCCCTCTTTCACATCATAGCCACCTTACATCAGACCCCCTACATCAGAGCCTCACTTTCATGTCCCCATAACATACAGAAGAAGTTGCTGCAGGCCAGGTAAAATCTTGTAGTGGGCTAGACGGGCCCATGGGTCATAGTTTGGAGACTGCTGATCTAAGGTCCCTATTATAAATCTATGGTGTCTCCCCTTTAAGGGATCTACTTTAGAGCAGCTATTGATAAAGAGCAATCTTGATATCATATATGGCTGCATAGTTACATATCCAACCATGGCAAAGGACACAAGAGTCAGTTTTATTCAATAATTTTTTCCAATACAGCCATAGCAATCAAATCATTTTGGCAAAAGATCCAAAATGATTGCATATTGGTAGCCACCCATCTACATTGACAGACAGCCTCTGAATGACAATTCTCAGGTGTACCAGCGGTCACCTAGTTGGGATGTCCCTGGCCAATGTGCCAATGCCACGATAGCTGATACTGCACATTCTGCTGCTTTCTCAGTCCGTGTCCACTGCTGCACACTGCAGAGAAAACTGCTCCTTGACAGCGAGAAAAATGTGACCACTTCAAAGGAAATCTGTAAGCAAAGTAAGGCAGCAAAGGCAGCAGCCTAGGGAGTGGAGAAGAAAAGGGGCACCCTATCACGTTGCCACAGAAATACATTATAACACTGCAAATTCTACTGATGTGAGTTAAAGCTGCGTTGTTTAACCAGAACTGCCTGTGCCTGGGGTGATATAGCATGCAAAATGGGTGTGTGGCTTGTATAAAAGGCTCCATCAAAAAGGGGTGTGGCCTGGAACGTTTTCGGGGCGTGGATGAAAACTATGAGCCGAGGACTTAAAATTCCCTGGTTCAGGCTTACAGAGAGTTGTTTCATTAAAGGGGGTTTTCTGGAAGGAGCAGCAGGAAACCTCTCCAGTTGGCAGGAGGTTTCTTTTCATCCCGCCATTCAAACTTTTCAGAAGTCAGCTGATTGCAAAGATCTCTTTAATGGGTGTAGGCTACACACAATGCTAGTGATCTGAAGTTCAACGCTAGTTTCTGAAGCCCATTAATTGTAACTTACAATTGGTGGACCACATGCATTAAATTAACTTCCAACCATTTGGGACTTTACCAAAAAAGTCAGTTAAATTGAATGTCTCTGAATCTTACAGGAAAGCAGTGAAAGAGTTACATTCTCCGTAGTACTTACCGTGGTCAGTGGTTCCCCCCCTCCCGCCATGAGTTTGAAGCCAATGTCGAACCTAAGACCTCTTTCAGTCACTTGATGTCCCTGACGCAAGTCATACCGATAGATTCTGACACAAAGTCATAGTGATTGCTGTGAATGCTGGAGGACATGGAACGACCCCAAGAAGAGCACTGCAGGCTGGACCCCCTTTTGCGGAAGGCGGAGGTGAACCTGTAGAACTTTTTGTGGCGGTTCTTCAGGTACTCCCTGTAGTTCTTGGTGAGGAGGGTGTACAGGAAAGGGTTTATGCAGCTGTTGCTGTAGGTCAGGCAGGTGACCAAGTAGTTAATGCACTTTTGGGTTTGGGACGAGAGCGGCGGGGACATGTCGTAGAGCCTGACCAGCTGCCAGATCCAAAAAGGCAGGAAGCAAGCCCAGAAGACCAGCACGATGCTGAAGATCATAATTAGCACCTTCTGTTTGGGGGACCTCTTGCTCTCCTTCTTGTTGATGGGGTTTCGCTGAGATTCCAGGTAGGTCCTGGCCAGGCGGGTATAGAGGTAGCCGATCACCAGCCCCGGGGCCATGATGCTTGTGCTAAAAAGTACCGTCAAGTAAGTCCTGTAGGCATCCTCGCTCCAGGTGGGAGCGCACATCCTCTTCACACCTTTGCCCTCGCCCTCTCTCAGCGTCATCATGATCATCATGGGCAACGTCAGAAGAAGGGACAAGAGCCACACGGCCACCACCATGGACTTGCGGTAGCTCTTGGACCTCCGGACGGTGTCCAGAGGCTTGGTGACGGCCATGTACCTCTCCGTGCACATGACGGTGAGGGTGAAGATGCTGGCGTGCATGGTGAAGAGGTCCAGGCTCAGCAGTATCCTGCAGCCAATGTCTCCAAAGTACCAGTCCTTCACGAAGGAGGTGCAGACGATGAACGGGATGCTGGACAGGTAGAGGAGGTCTGCCAAGGTCAGGTTGATGATGGAGATGTACATGGACGCGGCGTACCTCATGGAGTGACACATCACCACCAAGGTGTACACGTTGCCTGCCATCCCGGCTACGTACATCAAAGACAAAAATTGTGCCGAAGGTGCACGTGATGATCAGCTCCTCTGTTCTGTGGGCTCTGGGGTCCGGGCTGGACAAGTTCCCCGGGCCGGAGGAGTTGAGCTCCATGAGAGCGTTAGCGCAGCCGGCCCGGGGAAGGGATCGTCTTGTGGAGAAGACTGAAGCTTCTCATCAGTCAGGAACAGCTAAGGAGAGAGCGAGAGAGGGGAGAGAGAGAGAGAGAGGGGGGAGGAGGGGAAGAGGGGGCTGTGACGTTGGCTTCTCTCTCTATCCTTCTGTCTTCTTACTTTATATATCCATTGTTTGTCCCTTCTTTGTGTCTGGCTCTTCACCACTTTGTTCCGTTTTTCGCATCATTTCCACCTTCAGTTGGCTTTGGCGTTCCTTATTTCCGTTACACTTGTCGAAATCTGCTGCGGCTCCCATCCTTTCCTCTTCTGGTACTTTGACCTATTTTATCTGTAAGTGTTGCCTTCTTAATTCTCCACTTTTTTTATTATTATTATTATTATTATACAGGATTTATATGGCGCCAACAGTTTGCTCAGCGCTTTACAATACAAAACAGGAGACAATACAGCTACAATACAGTTCAATACAAGAGGGAAAGGAGGGCCCTGATCCTTGGGAGCTTACAATCTAGGAGGGAGGGGCAGGTGGTACAAAAGGTAATAACTGTGGGGGATGGACTGGTTGGAAGAGTAGAAGATTCCATTATTAGCTGAGCGCAGGATAGGCTTCCCTGAAGAGAGAGGTTTTCAGAGATCGCCTAAAAGTGAGCAGAATGGGCGATAGTCTGATTAATTGGGGTAGAGAGTTCCAGAGGATGGGGGAAGCTCTGGAAAAGTCCTGGAGATGAGCATGGGAGGAGGAGACAAGGGAGCTAGAGAGCAGGAGGTCTTGCAAGGTCTTTTTTTTTTTCTTTTTCCTTTCTTTTTTTTTTTTTCTTCTTCTTTTTCAAGCTTTTTTGTGCTTTTATTTGTCAGTTTTAGTCTTTTTTTTTTTGGCTCGTTTACATGGGCGGACAAGGGGTAATAAAAATACATGACTAAGCCATGGTTTTACGTCCTCTCTGACCTCCCCGCCTTAAAGCGGACCTAGATGTAGAAAATGCAAAACTGCGAGCAGGCACGCTCTTTTATTGCAGAAGAAATATGCTGTGTCTCTTCTGCAATAAAATACACCTACCTGCCTGTCTGCAATCCTTTGAGGAATGTACACTGAGCTGTGCATGCACAGCGCCATTTACATTTCCAGCATACTGCCAGTGTGCTGGGATAAATGACTCCTGCACATGCATGGGAGTAACGTCATCATCCCGCACTCACCAATCAAGACAGCTGAAAACCGGCAACGCGAGGAAGCTGGGGAGAAGATGCCAGTGCGTGCAAAAAAACCTCATGGGTGTCGGACCGTATTTCTGCCTTTAAATCCACTGCGAGCTTCAACAGCGGGGCTGTACACATGGCAAGAATTACGAATTTATAAAATTATATAAAAATATATAAATTGCTATCTAAAATGATACAGTACTGCCCGCTGAAATTGGCCCCATTCAAGTGATTGGGGTCGCAATGCAACTGTGGTTGTGGTGCGGTGGTGTGGGCTTTTCAGAGTTAAAACAGGCAACAGCCAACCACCTATCAACATTAAATTTCTTCAGCTTCAGCAACCTACAGACACCTGAACTAAGCACTTTCCCCAGGGGTGTTTTCTAAATGTAGTGGGCCGGTGGGCAAGTCTGGCCCCCTTCCTCATTTGCTAATAAATACTCCACGGTCAACCGTTAGTGGGATTATACCTACAGGTGAAACTCGAAAAATTAGAATGTGGTGCAAAAGTTCATTTATTTCAGTAATGCAGCTTGAAAGGTGAAACTAATTTATGAGATAGACTCATTACATGCAAAGCAAGATAGTTCAAGCCGTGATTTGTCATCATTGTGATGATTATGGTTTACAGCTCATGAAAACCCCAAATCCACAATCTCAGAAAATGAGAATATTCCATGCAATCAATAAAACAAGGATTGTACATAGAACAATATCGGACCTCTGAACAGTAGAAGCTGCATATGTACTCAGTACTTGGTTTGGGCCCCTTTTGCAGCAATTACTGCCTCAATGCGGCGTGGCATGGAAGCTATCAGCCTGTGGCACTGCTGAGGTGTTATGGAAGACCAGGATGCTTCAATAGCGGCCTTCAGCTCTTCTGCATTGTTTGGTCTCATGTCTCTCTTCTTTCTCTTGGCAATGCCCCATAGATTCTCTATGGGGTTCAGGTCAGGCGAGTTTGCTGGCCAATCAAGCACAGTCACCCCAAGGTCTTTGAACCAGGTTTTGGTGCTTTTGGCAGTGTGGGCGGTGCCAAGTCCTGCTGGAAAATGAAGTCAGCATCCCCATAAAGCTCGTCTGCGGAAGGAAGCATGAAGTGCTCCAAAATGTCCTGGTAGACGGCTGCGTTGACCCTGGACTTAATGAAGTCCAGTGGACCAACACCAGCAGATGACATGGCTCCCCAAATCAACACAGACTGTGGAAACGTCACACTGGACTTCAAGCATCTTGCAGTGTGTGCCTCTCCATTCTTCGGGGTTCTTGTGCCTCTCCATTCTTCCTCCATACTCGGGGTCCTTGTGCCTCTCCATTCTTCCTCCATACTCCGGGTCCTTGGGCCTCCCCATTCTTCCTCCATACTCGGGGTCCTTGGGCCTCTCCATTCTTCCTCCATACTCGGGGTCCTTGGTTTCCAAATGAGATGCAAAAGTTGCTTTCATCAGAAAAGAGGACTTTGGACCACTGAGCAACAGACCAGGTCTGTTTTTCTTTAGCCCAGGTAAGACGCTTCTGACGTTGTTTGTTGTTCAGGAGCGGCTTGACAAGAGGAATACGACATTTGAAGCCCATGTCCAGGATCCGTCTGTGTGTGGTGGCTCTTGATGCACTGACTCCAGCCTCAGTCCACTCCTTGTGAAAGTCCCCAACACTTCTGAATGGCCTTTTCCTGACAATCCTCTCCAGGCTGCAGTCATCCCTGCTGCTTGTGCACCTTTTCCTTCCACACTTTTCCCTTCCACATAACTTTCTATTAATATGCTTTGATACAGCACTTTGGGAACATCCAACTTATTTTGCAATTACCTTTTGAGGCTTTCCCTCCTTATGGAGGGTGTCAATGATGGTGTCAGGTCAGCAGTCTTTCCCATGATTGTGATTCCTATTGAACCAGACGGAGAGACCATTTAAAGGCTCAGGAACCCTCTGCAGGTGTTATGGCTTAATTATCTGATTAGAGTGGGACACTTTGAGCCGAGAATATTCCACTTTTTCACAATATTCTCATTTTCTGAGATTGTGGATTTGGGGTTTTCATGAGCTGTAAGCCATAATCATCACAATGATGACAAATCACGGCTTGAACTATCTTGCTTTGCATGTAATGAGTCTATCTCATATATTAGTTTCACCTTCTAAGTTGCTGCACTGAAATAAATGAACTTTTGCACGATATTCTAATTTTTTGAGTTTCACCTGTAAGTGGAAGCAACTGGGGAACAACAGCAACTCAGCCACCAAATGGTAGGCCACGTCACATGACAGGGCGGGGTCAGCGCATGCTGAAGCGCACAGTGCGCAGAAGTCACCAACTGTCTGCAGAGTCAATAGCTAAAGACCTCCAAACTTGGTGTGGCCTTCAGATGAGCCCAACAACAGGGCGTAGAGAGCTTCATGGAATGGGTTTCCATGGCCGAGCAGCTGCATCCAAGCCTTACATCGCCAAGTGCAATGCAAAGCATCAGATGCCGTGGTGTAAAGCACGCCGCCACTGGACTCTAGAGCAGCGGAGACGCGTTCTCTGGAGTGACCAATCATGCTTCTGTCTGGAAATCTGATGGATGTGTCTGGGTTTTGCAGTTGCCAGGAGAACGGTACTTGCCTGACTGTATTGTGCCAAGTGTAAAGTTTGGTGGACGGGGGATTATGGTGTGGGGTTGTTTTTCAGGGGTTGGACTTGGCCCCCTAGTTCCAGCGAAGGGAACTCTTAAGGCATCAGCATACCAAGACATTTTGGAAAATTTCATGTTCTCAACTTCGTGGGAAGAGTTTGGGGATGGCCCCTTCCTGTTCCAACATGACTGCGCACCAGTGCACAAAGCAAGGTCCATAAAGACATGGAGGAGCCAGTTTGGGGTGGAGGAACTTGACTGTCCTGCACAGAGTCCTGACCTCAACCCCATAGAACACCTTTGGGATGAATTAGAGCGGAGACTGTGAGCCAGGCCTTCTCCCCCGAAATCAGTGCCTGACCTGACAAATGTGCTTCTGGAAGAACGGTCAAACCTTCCCATAGACACCCTCCTAAACCTTGTGGACGGCCTTCCCAGAAGAGGTGAAGCTGTTATAGCTGCAAAGGGCGGGGCCAACTCAATATTGAACCCTACGGACTAAGACTGTGGGGCCATTAAAGTTTATGTATGTGTAAAGGCCGGCCGGCCCAATACTTTTGGCAATATAGTGTATGTTGGACTGAGTCATACCGCCTATGTACTGGACCAGGCCATGCCACCCATGTGCTGGACTGGGCTGTGCCACCCATGTGCTGGACTGGGCTGTGCCACTCATGTGCTGGACTGGGCTGTGCTGCCAATGCTCTGGGCTGAGCCATGCTGTCTTTTCTCTGGACTGAGCCATGCCACCCATATTTCGGATTGGGCCATGATGTCCATGAGCTTATTGAGCCAGGCTGCCCATGTGCCAGACTGGGGCATGCCACCTTTATGCTGGACTGGGCCATGCCATCCATGTGTTGTTGCTAGGATGCTAGCAGCCACCCCAGGGTGGCTGCCAGCATTCTAACAACCAACAGGGGGGGGGAGAGACTGCAGACTGCGCTGCTTTGGAGGAAACATGGAGACCACAAACAGTTCCTGCTGTCCCGAAGCCACCATCCATACAGTTGGTGAATACACAATGGGCCCCATCCCCCTTGGTTCCCATGT